ACGAGAATGCTTACAGCAGGCATTACATAGATGGACAAACGGACGTGCTTATATTTTGTAGGGGTTCTGAAGCTTCCTGCTGGGCGTTACCAACGTCTTGACAAGATGAAGATATACGCCTCGCCCATAGGTGATGAACATAAATCGCATAAACAATTATCAGGAAATTCGGATCTCGGTCGGTTGCATCTATCCCCTGCTTTTTCGAAGGAATTCTCAAAGACGAGGAAATTCGATACCGCGATGTATGTATAATATATTCTTATTCCTCTTACTCTTGTTACTATTACACTACTTGTGGTACAGAGTATATAAATGTTTGTGTGGATGTATGTGTAACATCCGGGAAATCTCACCTTTTACTGATCGATTCACAATCATATTCTCAATGCCTGTCTGTAAGTTTGTAAATGAAAATATATTTTTTGATTTGCTTTAACGGAAAATGAAAAATAAGAAAATTTTTGAAAAATAAATTAAGTTTGCTAAATTTAAATCACGTCATCATATAATGTTTTGGGCATTATCCAATCGACCAATGCGGGTATTTTCATGAAAAGTTTCATGCGCTTGCATGAAAATATGTGTATTGTTATCAAAAGGGGCGAATAAATTGTTCTTACTTGTTTCATTAAAGGGATCTATCTGCTTAACTGGTTTCGTCAAAGTTACGGAAGAAAGCGGTTAACATCTTTATGACGAATTGCATGCAATGCGACGTTTAATTAACTGCATGTGTGCTTACAGATAATGCTTTTAACCAAATTCTAGGATTAGATAAGATTCTATAATGTGATACAAAAATAAAATTTGTTATGTGCATATATTATAATAGTAATCTTTATTCATAATACGGTCATTGAACTGGCCTTGATCCACGTTGGTATCGTTCAATGTGTTAATCATCTTTTTAAATCTTACCTATTAAATTAATTGCGTACTATATTTATTTTGTTTTAATTTCTTATATATTTTTTTCAAGTCCAATCATCATTACGATTATATTTTAACCCCATTATTATGATTATTGTTATAATTTAAAAAAGCAAAACAAAAAGCTTTACACACATCGTAGGATTAAGAGCTTTTTTTCTTTATTATCAAAGCGTGCGCATATACATTTTCCGTGTTTTTAGCAGTTTATTGAACTTTCTGTTTTTATTTTTATCGAGTTAATGTACTAAAAGATTTAATGTTTCTCGCTATACCTACCCCAAGTTCCTCAAGTTCAAGTTCTCTACTACATTGTTTGCTATTTAGGATATACTTCTGCTTTTGTCTCTGGCGAAACCAACGCGACGGAAACCTTGTCAATAACCTCTCCACGTAAGCAGTCAAGTTCATTGTCATATCTTAACCTCAGTTATGCTTAAGCTATTCTGCTCTCTTTGTATATCGGGTTCTTGTTGCCATTTCATCAACACTAATGCGTGTAAATATTTGCGTTGTTTTTGATTTTTTTTTCACCTTAACTTAATTTTTATCTCGGTTTGTGGAATATTTAGTCATTTGTATGCAAAATTATTCTTCGGCTTTCATGAATTATTTGAGAAACGCTAAACTCTATTTATCATTATTTTCACGAGTATTTGAAAAAACCCTGTTAACCCCTTACAAAAATCGAAACGATAGAAATCGTTATTTCAACGTTTAAAATTCAGTAGACAGATACTGAAAGCACTCTTGATGAATACACGTTTTCAAAGGGTTTTAATAGGGTGTTCTAACGTTAACAGTATATGAAAAATTATTTCCAAGTGAATCCAACCATAGTTCGGAAGAAAGGAGTGTTTTTGTTTCGTTCTTAAGGTGCTCAGTGCTGATAGTGAATCGATCAATCGAAACTGTCTTGAGCTGAAGATGTAGTGAATACTCTCAGCCTCACTAATATTTCGGAGGCTATTAATAAAACTGTGATTACAGTAGACTTTTATTCATAAGTGTTGCTACCGTTTTCGATTGGCTTAACATATTTAAGAACTATTCCGTTAAATTAATCGCAATTTCAGTTTTTCATCCCAAGCGTCCGTCCCATGGACGGAAAACTGTCTACAAATTCGAGACGCTCATCCAATAAAAAAATTTTCTGTTTTCTTCTTTTTTTTTTTTTTTTGTCATATGTTTAAGACTACAATACTTGTGGTGCAGGTTATATTCAGTTTATACGAACGTAAGCAACACCCACGCCAGGGGCTAAAGACAGAGTCATCTTTTATTACACTCCAAGCTTGTCTGTCCATCCGATGTCTATACTATGCATTTATGTGTTCAACCTATAGATCGCAATTTTTGAGAGATTTTAATGAAATTTGGTACACTGACATGTTTTGACCCAAAGGACAAAGCTATCGAAAATTATTCGGATCGGTCCACCATTGCGACCACTTCTCATATGCAACTTTTAAAATTTCTTCACAAAAGTCGCTAAATAATAATATTTCGGCATTCCAAATTCGTGTGAACAATTTGGTTCGGCTGGGGCACTTTTTCGAATCCCCCATCGTATAACCGTTCCTATGAAGAATGAATTATTATTATACGGTAAAGAGGCATCATTTGTAATAATTTATGGTGAAAGTTAATTCATGGTAGTAAATTGACATAAAAATCAGCTTTACCGAATTCGGACCACGTATATCTATTTTTTTAGCTACCAACACAAATAAACATTCCCAGAGAATGTAAACCTTTATATGCCAAAACGGCCTGATTGTTAACGTTATGTGATGAAAATTTGTTCATGACAGTGAACTCATATAAAAATTAAGTGAGCCAAATTCGAAGCACATGAGTTATATATTTTGGAGTCAGTCCATTCCATATAAGATTTCTTATGATGATGATGGGTAACCCCTTCAGAACAAGGTTTAATTTTTAATATTTTATGATGAAAACTAGTGAAAACTTGGATTAGATAGTTAGTATGTTTTAGATCGTAACATATATTTGGGTTATCACGAAAAGCAAGTCCTTACATGGAACAGAAAGTCTAATTTCTAATTTTCTATGATGAAAACAGAAAAATCTTTCAGGGAATTGAAGTAAACTTGCTAAATTTGGATGATGCAATTTGATGTTTTGGGTGCCCTTCTATATACGGGTTTTCATGAAATGCATGCCTTTGCATGAAAGTGTAGATATATAATGGTGTAAAATATATAATAATTAACCTTGCCCGACAATAGTGGTTTTACTTATTTCCTACTGAATTTGGAATAGCAATACTAACCGTAAACTTCACTTTTGAATTTTACATTTATATTCGCATTGAAAATTTAAATAACAACTAACTAACCGCCAAAGAGTTTCAGTTAAACTTCTTTTTTTTTAATTAGAAACGTGATAGTGCAGCACACCATGACAACCGGTATATGGAGAGAGGGCACGAGGCGTAAACAGTTTCGATAGATTTACTTTTGTTGTCAAAGAACTCATCAATTTTCATCTATATTTTTCTGCTTACGGTATTTAGCAAATCGACGACATATGATGCACTGTGTTCGTTATAAAATACGAAAACTTAGATCGTATTGCCACATAAAGGGTTATGTGCCATAGGAGCCTTTACATAAGAAGAGATCCATACAATAAATCGCCTTGGTCCAGACTTGAAGCAAAAATTTATATGTCAAGTTACCTCGTTACATCCACTATCACCTTAAAATTCTAAAAATTACGTCTTTGGCCATATATTTGCTCTTCGATTGCACTTCATTAAGGACTTCAGATGGAAAGGATTTCACGATCCAAGTGATGCCTGATTTGACAAAGTATATTCTTATTTTAAGTAATTATCCGGTTCAATTTTCATGCTAATATCCTTTGGAAATTTTTGTTAGTAATTTTATATTGGATAGAAAGAGAGATAGAGAGACTTTAAAACAAATTTCCACATTCACTTAACATGTCAATATCTATAAATATTCCGAATTTTTGCCCAGAAATATTAAATATCATAGGCTATTTGATCAATTTGAACCTGCAAGTTGAATGCAGAAGAGCGTGGGGAGCTACTATTACATACGGACAGACCACCTTCTGAATCTCATTCTGAATCAGTTAGAATAGTAAAGAAGATGCATCTATCTTACAAGGCCCCCATTTTGGGTGTTGCATACAAGAACTTGAGTTGAACATAGTTTTATCGCATTTGTTTTTGGGGTAATGACAATTGTGAATGTATGTATACTGCCATGTCGGATAAAAGTTCAAAAAATTTATTATTATGGCTCAAGCACAAAAAGAAAAGCATGAGAAGCCCAACTCGGTTTGAAAGCAAATGAGTACCCAACTCAACCCAAAATACGATCGTATCGCTTCCGTCTTTTATATCGTACGATAGCTCAATAACGAGAAGTGCAAAATCGGCCCCAGATATCAATGTAACGAATGAATTTTACTTCAAACCGATCCGATAAACTTATGTAAAAATATTATAATGAAAAATTCATGCCAATTGTCTGCCCTCTCTTTCTATTCTCTTCGCAAGATATATATAATGAAATGAAAGTACATTTCTAAGAGTAAAAAAATAGTTATCTGTGTTTGATTACATCGCCCGCGACACAATTCTCAAAAAAAAAAAACCAGTTATGCGAGTACAATCTGAGTAGAAATGTTATCTCGAATACCTATATAACAATATTCTGTCTTCCTCCTCCCCTTCTCTTAAGTTCTTAAGGAGATTTGAAGAAAGTAAGAAAGTTAGAAAATCTCATAACATCCTTTCCCCTGTGTAACTGACACTTAGCACTTCTTCAACGAGAAGGCATTGATCTGCAACTGTTTATCGTAATTGGTAGGTTTTCTCGTACATATGCGTGAAGTTCAATATAAACGTTTAGTACATAAGAGAATCGCTATAACTAATAAAGTAAAGGGAGAATAATGATAAATATACAATAAAAAAGTGGAGATGAAACGTTGACATGGAAAATGAAATGTGTGAGGGGAAAATTCACTTAAATTGATAAATTGGATGAATTACAAGTTGAACTTACTTTGGCAATTCGGCCTTCTCTCAATTGTATCCGGCTCTTCCTTTCTATTTGTTATAGTTTGTGATAAATTTGAATTTGAAAGCTTTTCATTTTTAACGAATTTCGTTAATGAATTTGTTTCGTTCGGATTTTTTAAAATCTTATCGAATTCTAGTTGAGATTTTCGTTGTCGTTGCTGTTGTTTTTGCTGCTTTTCTTGTTGTTGTTGTTGTTGTTGTTGTTGTTTCTGCGAACGCGATATTTTCTGTTGTAAGCCATGCAAGTGTTCTGATAGGGAAGACTTGCCGCCACCGGACGTCAGCGTTGAACGATTATTTATCATCATTTGATTAAGATAACTCGAATTGTAAAAAATCATTTGCGGCTTATGCTGACGATGCTGATGATGATTCTGATAATTGCAATGCGAATAGTTTGGCGTTTGTAATAGAACATAGGAGCTTGCTGCTAAATACGCACCAAATCTGGCTTCTTGATACGTCAATTGCCTCGAAGATTGACGATATATGTCACCATTACTTGACGCGTAAGCACCGCTTTCGTTCATAGCGGCTGATATTATCGGTATCGTTAACGGTGGAACAAACATAGTTAATTTATGCTAAAGTTTTGTATTTGATTTTATGCTACAGATGTACACAAACGGTCTTTTATTTTATATATCTTTACTATGTGTAATCAGTCCATAAGTCGTTTTTCAATTTTTTATAAATTTTCACTTCATCAAACTTTTCAATCAGTTTATCAAAATACACTTTCCTTAATGAATTTTCACATATATTAAATTTTCCTTTCTTGTAATACGATGACGAATGTTCTTGTTGTTTATTTACTGATATTAAACTCAATAAATGTTGCATTTCAGCTAAAATTTTAAAAAAATTTATATATATACATATATGTATATATTTAACAATATTTCTTGCAAGGCACTCTAATCATCCGCCGTTTTGTCTCGTTTTACGTTTTCTTTGTTTTCTTTCTTTTCCTCGAGGTGCATGCAGACTTTGCAAATGTAATTATATAGATATTCAAATGTTTCTTTGTTGTGATGCCAAAAAAAAAAAAAAACAAAAAAAAAAAAAAATGAAAAAAGAAAGACAAAGATCTTTCCAATATTCTCTGTCAATTGGTTTGAAATGCATTCACTCGTTGACTGAAATTTCTTTTCGGTTCGTTTTTGCTTTATTTTGCTTGTTTTTTATAAACATTTGTTGTTGGTCCTGTAAATGAAATAGACATCAATTGAATGTTTGTTGGCTAGCTAGCTAAAGGTCTGCTGCATATATGTATATACGTACGTATGTATGTATGTATATATGCATGCATTTATCTATGTGTTAAGAATTGTTCCTTTATTATGCTGTTAACGTTGTCGGTGTAAACAAATTGAGATCTTTGGCCAAAATTTTGCATTATCATCTATTTAAACGTAAAATTTCCCATACACGCTGAAGATTGTGCATACACTACTGACGTCAATATTTAATTTTATTCTAAGCATTCCGTTAAATATGATGACTGATGCATTAATGGAGCGGACTTTATGCTAACGGCTTGGCACCTTTTACCATTTATTTATCTAATTTATTTTAATTTTACATTAAAATTAATTGATAAATATATTATGTTATTTGTATTAACATATCCTCAGTTGACACGTTACGACATCTTGTACACGTGAATACGATCGTGCCTTGAGATTGAATAAATCCTTCATTTTATGCTTCTAACCCTTAAGCGGTACCAACATCTTAAATGACGAGTAAAGTTTATAAGATTTTTAAAAGTGCACTTTTTTATTAGCTAACTCTACACTCTACTTTACTATCCTGCCTAGAGATATGATATTTTTATGTGCCGATACAAAGTTCGAAGAAGTAAATAAAATAAAACTTTTCTCTCACATTTTTTATGATAATTCAAGACTTTTGAAAGCAATGTAAAAAATATTTCACTGCAGCCGATATCTGTACTATTTGCGTCGTCTATATCTAGCCAAAATTATCGTCGTATAACTCGCATATGTGGGCCGGAGCATCCAACGCTGCACGTTCAGATACTCTTGGGCAATGAAAGTGTGTCCAAAATTGTCGATACCGATAAGAAAGGTAAGTGCATGAAATAAGTTCTTCAGCACAACCGCAACGCTTTCTCAGCGTTCCCAACAACTCGTCGGCCTTTGAAATAACCTACCAGCAGTCGTCCTTCCCTCTTTATATGATTTCTGCGTTTTCAAGTCGAATATTTACAAACACTACTTCCTCTCTGTCTACCCCTTTCTACCTATAACGCTTTTCGATCATCACCGTGCCCATACTTATGGGGGACATCCCCTGAGTGGTTGGTTATAGAAAATATAAAAAAAAAAAAAAAAAAAAAACCCTGAAGAAGATGGTTAGATTTTCTTAAGAAGATGCTACTGCCGTAAAATATATCGAGAATGTATACTAAGCAAGAGTAATGAAAACAGAAGCTAGCAAAAACCATAAAACGGTTTTCCCGTTTTTCCAATCTTGATGTAGGCAAATTTTTCTGTTAAGATGAAATTTTTTTTGGATAATTGCTCGGAAAGGCTCTCATAGAGATAAATTCAGTGATAAGTTCTGTAATAAATAATAAAATAAAAGAGTAATAAAAGAAATTTTGGGCATTTCGAAGAAGCTTTCGTAGAGAAAAGGAACTCATTAACGGAATTTTTCGTTAAACGTTCATTCAGAATAAAAAGAAACAAAAAAAGAGAGGATGGCAAGATAAGCTGTTTTCTATGAGATCGAAAATACAGAAATTTAGAAGAATCTTTTCGAATGCAGACGTGTTTGGGATAATCGCTTCGGATAAGACGTTCGCGAAAACGATTTTAATATTAATGCATCGGAAATTTGAAATAACAATTAAGAGATGATAAAGTGGACATTTTTTTTTTTGAAAACAAAGCAAGCTTAACATTAATTGACAAAATATTTAAACTAAAATTGAAATCCGTCAGCTGGCAGTTCTCTTTCAGATTCGGTGGAAAAATTGCGAGAAAACCCTTTTAATGAGGAAAATGTTTTCCTATTTGTTTAGATATGCACTCAAGGTTATAAATTACAATGTTTAGTTAGAGCAATTATTTACTTAAAAATGATGTTGATTCGAAGTAACTTCTTTTGATGCTTAACACAATAGTAGCATAACTTTAAGAAAAGATTGCTTTCGTTTAATTAAAACGGAAACGTTATTAGTTAGCCTCTTCCTCATCACCATCGTGCTCGAGCATTGTATGGCTGAGTGGCTGATCATATACAAAAGAAAAGAAGAAACGAAAAGGATTAGAGAGAATAGGGAACTCTCGAACATCAATAAATAGAAGATGATTGGTCATTCAAAATGATGTTAATTACACTATCTCATTGAAATTTGTTTCTATGTTTGAACCAAAAACTCTTGTATACTTCCTAAACTGTTATCAAAGAAAAGAAATTTTAATTGAATTTGAAAAAGCATTTGTCTGTGCACGCAGACAATTTGTATTTATTTATCTCTTTTTTTTTTGTATAAATACATATAACAAAACGAAACATACCGCTAAATATACGCTTGATTTTACATAGTCTTTATTTTGGTCTTTTGTCATCGTACCTATGCAATCGTAAACATTATAATGATAATAGGAAACTGTAACATAACAGCATTAGTAACACTCATTTCCCGTCCACCCCATGCTTCAAGCCCATCGTGAATACACACACGCACACAAGCAAACACACATACACATGCATTCGTCAAAGATCGATTCAGTGAGTTCTTTCTCTTGCTCAATTAAATAGAAAAAACAAAAAACAAAATTTCGCTTTTTTACTTTTATTGTATTTTTCACACAAACATTTTTTTCTACAAAAATCCCTTTATCAATACCAACAATTGCAATAATTGCAAATATTACTTTATAACATACAACTTGACGCGTTTTTCAAAATTTCGTAAATTTTGTTTGTTTTTTTTTTTTTTTTTTTTTTTGTTATTTTTATATCTGAAACTTAAAGTAAATAACGCGTCTTGCACTTTGAGGAACTGCAAATGATCTGAAATTAAATAAATATAAACAAAAATTTTCAAACAAAAACAAAAAATGCCTCTAAGTGCAGAGAAAACCAATAGAACCAATACAGTGAATGCTTGCGTACAAACAAATTTCATATATGTGTGTAAACAATTTCAATTGCAAATGAGAGATGAAAAATCTCGTCAATCAAATAACGGCATTTTGCTTTCGCATGCTTATATTTCTCTCTCTCCCTTCCTCTTATCACTCTCTTCAACACACACGCTCATGCACATGCACATACATTGTCTCACTACTTGTCTCTATATGACTGTGTTTGTAAGTCAACAGCTGGTCACGTTAATGAAAGATTTGAAAGCTTTTTTTATACCCATCACCGAAGGATGAGGGACATATTTACTTTGTCAAAACGTTTGTAACGACGAGAAGGAAGTATCAGAGACCCCACAGAGTATACATATTCTTGATTAACATCAAATTCTGAATCGATTTAGACATGTCCGTCCGTCCGTCTTTATAATGTCTTTTGTAAGTATTCTCCTGGGCGCAAAAACGAAACTATCAACTACCAGAATTTGCCAAAAACATTGGCAGTTCTTGCAAGCAAGTTGGTACTGAAAATGGTCGAAATTAGATGAAGCACCCGCTCACAACACCACGTAAACCGGAAACACCTCTATTTTTCAAAGGGAATAAAAAACTGGTTTATTGCTCATTACGCATAAACTATAGTAAATAAATGTACAAAAATTTGAAGACATATTCTATGGGCAATCTTGTAGCATCTCTGCACAGAAAAGGAAAAAATTGACCACCCCTGCCCGGTATTATACCGCATAAAAATTTTATTATTTTTTTTAATACCTTTATAACAAGTTTCAAAAATCCCGCAAAGTATACAACTTCTTGGCCAGTTACAATACTTGAATGCACCTAAACATGTCCGCCTGTTCGTCGGTCCATCTGTCTGTTTGCGTAACTTTGTAGCATTTGTGATAAACATGCCTCCGTTAGCGAAGATGAAGATATCGCGCAAAAATTTGCAAAGGAATTTGAATTTAAGCTAAAATTTTGAAAGGACACGCCTACAACGCCCACATTCGTCTACGACAAAAACTTTATTTATTTTGAAAATAGAAGCAATCAATTAAGCGCCCTCTCCATATAATAGAGCATGAGAATTTCACGCTTTTACTTCTCTTGCCTTCTTTTGGGGTAAAAACGGTGACAGGTATAAAAGATTCGGTCCCGACCGGATTTAATTTTCTTGCTTGTTTTATATTAACAATACATGCTTTCAGGTTTTGCTTTCTTTTCATTGCATTTCAGTATCCGTGTGTTGCATGTCTTTCCTTTACTAATATTATCGGATATTGTTTATTTACTTTTTAGTATAGTCTGTAAGTATGTCAAGCATCTAAATCTTTCATTATTATCGCTTATGAAAATAACAAAATGCTTTGTTTTCTATTAAGTTTTATTTACGATTGCCTTTGTGTTTTCTGTGTGTGAGAGAGAAAGAGAAGATTTTGTTAATTCATACAACTGAAGCACAAGAAGAGAAATAGAGAGGCAACACAAAGAAACAAGAATTCTCTAAAACTCCGTAATTAATTGTTTGGTAAGAACTTAGATAGAAATGAATATGTAAACAATAGCACGTGCATGGCAAATGTAAACAAAAATTAGAATTCTCAACAGCAGCCACACGCCATACTAGGCGTAACAGCGAAATACATAATCATAATAATAGTGGTTTTTTTAACAGGGATATTATCATTGCTTAATAGATATGTAACGGAAAGTGAAGAAGTTAAATAAAGTTAACATGCTTTATAAAAAGTCAAGTAGCATATAACATGCAATATGAGAAGCATTCGAAAAGCATGCGAGCCAATGTGAACTGCTACTATAATCAGAAACTACTCGGAACATAGCTTCTAAATGTAACATGGACGACGACGTAATTTCTCATTTTCAGATCTTTACGTATATAATAATTAAGAGCGAATCTAATCATCTATTAATTGCTTAATGATAAGCTTAAGAAAAAAGAAAAGACAGTTTTATCCGTTTGTGTTACTTCTCATCCAAAATTTATTACAATTTATTTTTATATTCTTATACCCATATATATTATGTCGAATTTAAACTCGATTTTTAATTTCCTCTCATTTATTCCAAGCACTAAGCTATTAAAGCAGTAAAGTCAATCCCAGTCAATCCCATTTCCTTATTCTTTTTGTTTTAAATATTCTTCGTATGAATTTTAAAATTGATCCCATTCGTTTGGGTGGCCGAGTAGCCAAGAGTCTCGACTAGCAACTCAGTGGTCGTGGGTTCGAATTTCAAGTGCGGTAGAGTTTTTAATAAAGGCCGATAGCCTTAGATGCTAGTGCTTTTTAAGTGTTTAGTCTTAGAATTTATTTCTCTGGCAAAATTAATAATAATAATAATAAAATTGATCTTCAAAGGCACTCTTACAAACACAGAATCGCAAAACCTATATAGAAATTCAATACTTGCTTATTATTCTTGTTTCAAGAATAAATGCATTATGAAGCGTTTACCTGTATTCGCAGAAGAAAGAGAAAAGCTTTTGCTATTCTATTTTAACGAGAACAAGAAATGCTCTGAGAAGCTGTTATCTCCATGTGTATGTAAGAAATTACAAAACAAGCTGAGCACAACGATATTGCGAGTGTGTGCTTAAAATGTAAACAATAAAATAAATACTGTATTAAGAGCAAAGTACATATTATACAGATAGCTTTTGTATGAGTCAATAATTAAACTCGATAAATATATTCTAAATATGGAGAAATAGATATAATATTCGATAAAAGTTGGTAAGATATTTTTGTTTATTATTCTGTTTAGATTAAATCCTGATAACAGTCATTCAAGACTATGTTCATGCTCAACAGTATATTATTCTAATTAAGACGGATTGCATCGAACTTTTCATCTACAATTTTACATATATATTTAATAGATATTTTCGCAGAAGAGCCAATGAATCGTAAAGCAGGAAGTAATGGAAGTAAAACACTTTAGCTATATCTTGGATACTTTCAAATTTTTTCCATTTTTCCATTCCTTACCTAAGTTTAATGCAAGAATTTTCGAAAATTCGTATTAATATTATTACTCATATCTGCTCCCTCTCTCTCTCTCTATCTCTCTCTCTCTCTCTCTCTCTCTCTCTCTCTCTCTCTCTCTCTCTCTCTCTCTCTCTCTCTCTCTCTCTCTCTCTCTTTCTCTCTCTCTCTCTCTCTCTCTATGTATATATATATATATGCATTTAACCAACATTTATGCCCATTTCATTCACTACCATTAAGGGCTGAGCAGGCTCTTCACCATTGAGCTCAATATTATCTTAAGACCGACTACATGCTATTGACTACAAGTCTTACTAATCAGCGAAACTATCGCTAATTTGAAGATGACTGAGACTTAACTAAAAGTTTCATTCTTGGAAATATTTGCATCATTTGTTAAACCCACATTTGCTTTAGATTATTTGCTTATTGTCTTTATAGGCTAATTATGTTTATCTAATGTTCATATAGCGATTTTCGATAAGCTCTAAAAAATTTTGTAGACCAATATGTAAAAAAAGGTAGTACATCACAGTAATCGGCGTAATAAGGACGGACTATACCCCCAAATTCTAGTTCAATCTTCATGATGGTGTAAGCAATCAAAAAAAGAGACGAATGGATGGATTGACAAATGGACAACGGTATACATTTAGTTAGAAACGAAAGGACGTAAGAAATAACTGGCCATCTATATATAATGGCTATAAAGAAGACGTTTCCAATCGTCTATCTATATAACGACCCGAAGCTTTTTATTCACTGCAAGAGAGTGCCGATAATCCGATTGAAACAATTGTAATATCGAAATTTTAAGTGTTTATGTGCTGAATTTTCGTTTCTCTATGTGAATTCATATGAGTTGATCATGTCGATCTTTCAAAATTGATTTGCATCACTTCACCTGGAATATATCGGAAAACTTTAATCGCAAAAGGATATAGGAACCTTTCCGGAAAAATGCAAAAATTCATAACTGATAATTATCATTATGCACTGAAATGAAATGCATTTTGACTATAAAAAAAAAAAAAAGAATTCAATACAAAAGAAAGACAAAAGAAAACCTCTAAATATTTTTTCCCCAAACCGGTATTTATTTTTATGCATACATATGTACACATTTTTTATGGAGTCCCTGCTGCGTATTACTAGATATTGCAAACAAAAAACAAATTTATACGCATTCTTTGCTTTCATGGCGGAACTTTATAAAAAATTTAATTACATATATGTAAATTGAAGAATGTTAAGTGAAGTGAACTCTTTACATATACATATAACCATCTTACAATAATTTCTCTTTGCACAGTTTGTCAGTCAGGATATACAAAAGAATCAGAACAAAGCCCATGAGCAATTATGTCTGATAGGCAACACTATCCCCAGAATTCTTAACTATCGTTAGGATTTCAAATGTTTCTCAGTCGCACGCAGCTACGTAAGCAGCTTCACAACAATTTGTTAACATGTAAGCATATAGTTAAACACTTTTCCTTTCATTTATGTATTTCCACTTTTTTTCACCTTTTTTTTTTGTGGTTTAACTCAAACAATGCCGTAGAATTTTTTGTTAATTACCTTTAGTCATAAAAATTTTTTTATAAAAGTTTTTATTATACCTCTTCGCGAGCACTTCTGTTACTCAGTTTATTTTTTATTTTATTTATTTATCACTATCGCTTGCATAAATTTATTACTGCTGGTATAATTTTAACATATATATGCTTTCGTATGCACGCGTGTATGTGTATGTGTATGTGTGTGTGTGTGCGTGTATATATATATATATATATATATATATATATATATATATATATATATATGTATGTATGTGCGACTATATTTTACAAAAAAATAAAGAAAGAAGAAACAAAGAAAATGAAAAAAGAAAATGCAACAAGCAAGTTACGCGCTTCATCTGAAACTGAATAAGCTTTT